AAACCAAAATGTTCCATATTTTCAATGCCAGCCATAGTCTCATCAAAAACTATGAGTGGCCTTAATGACAGGTCATTTCTGGTACCGCGTGTACTGCGAATCCACTCACATGTTAATGAGCGTTCAGCTGGAGCTGGTTCAGTTGAGAAGTTGTCGAAAATCCTCTTTATGATTTTCGCATATGTTTTCCATCTTGAAGGCGTCTTCAGACAACCCAGTACGACTGTATCATCAGAACACATAGAGCAGTTTGCAGGTAGGTCGATAATACTAAATTAATATAAATATTGAACAGCGTGGATGATAGGGCAGAGCCCTGCGTGACACGGGGGGATTTCTTTACGTCACTGTGGACACAGTGACGACAGCGAGAGATAATTTGCCAGCTAATCTGTTCAGCTTGCGTAGCAACTTGTCGCAAGGAATCATATTGAACTGCGAGGTTAGGTCAGTAAACGTGGAACTGCAGATGTTTTGCCTTTATAAAGCCTTTTGTATGAGTTACACAGAAGATTGCGTCTTCAACCGCCCATTTTTCTGTTGAATGCAAATTGACGAGGATCGATTAGGAAATCAATTTCCCCTTTCCGGCTGGCAGAAGTAACAACTCCAGGCATTTAAGGAGTGCGGGATGTTTCAGACCCCTTTGCATTAGCTCCATTTTTGGCATTGGCACTATGCAAGCTATGAGTTAGTCGTCAGAAATCAGTGACTCGCGTAAACACAGGTCAAACGCGGTTTTCAAAACGTTACGGAAATGGACAGAACACAATTTCAATTGTTCGGAACAGGATACTTATGAGACCGAATGCGAGCCAAAACAATTTCAAACCTCTTCTACTGCGAACAGAAGACTATCCTGTTGCTAACCATGGGATTAGGAGCTCATAAAGGAGTAGATGTTCTTTTACGAGGTGCATAATGAGACAGTTAAACTAATTCAGGTCTGCGGGAGAAGCTTGTGGCGGGTGTGGTGTTACACAGCGGTGCAGTATTACACCATAAATCATTTGAATCGCTAGCAGTAAAGCAATGGTTCGCATAAAGCATGTTGAGTCGACTGACTTCCGTGATGATTTTGAAATACAAGGACAGGCAGAGATGATGGTCACCAGCCGACGAGGGCTTTAAACAGATGCTGAAGTAATTATACGTTTTCATTTTCGTCGGGCAGAGGACATCGAAGGTGTCGTTGAGAACAGTGACGATTTTCACAGGATGCTATTAAGCACCTTCTGGCTTCGAGCGGTGCCAGAAATCACAGGCCAGTTTCAGTATGAGTGCAGTCGTTGCAAATTCTCAAAGATTTTCTTACTTGTGCCTCGATAGTAGATGGTCTTTAGAGTCTGGCAGCAATACATTGAATACTCACACGACCCTTGAATACTAAATAGAATATCGGTCGAATACGAATAATGCAGGAATCTGACCTGGCGATAGACGCTAAACGACGACATAGAAAATGATTGGCTGATTAGTCAAAACTTGATCCAGGGAAGCATTACACATAGTATTAGCTTGAGAGTTCAAGAGGCATAAGAGCTTTCACAGTATGATGATTTAAATCTCCTGGCAGGACGATAGGACTCTTATTCATTACTGAGGACAGAAAAATTCCAAGGAAGCGTAGCGTCACAGTCAGATGCGATATAGGTATTTCCCACTATGTGATGATGTTTTTTGAGGCACAAATCCTCTCCAGCAGCTTAAAAATAGGCAGTCAATAACATTAGACAAGAAAGTAAATTTAACCTCTTGTTTGACACACCATTCC